GAGGAGAGAACGGCGAACACGGTGGCATGTCCTCACATGCAAGGTGTACCGGCGCAGCTGCAGAGCTGGGGCCATCACAGTAGTCTAGAATACAGCCTTCTCGTCTTGAGCCTAGAGAAAAAAAGTCCACACAGAGGTGAGACAGTTAGACTACGCACAGCAGCAGCAGCAGTAGTAGCAGCAGCAGCGGCACCGCGACAAGCCTCTCCTTCCCACACATCAATTCCGTGTGTGTGCTGCGTAAAAATCATGTGTTTCAGCATGCGAAACTGCTCTTGAAGCAACGTGTGCTTCTGCCTACATGAACAAGGATCCCAAACAGTAGCCAGCGTACACGACAGCAATTGCGCGTTCATGTTTCAGTGGTCCTCTGCGAGACAACGCGCTGGGGGAAAACTCGATTTTTTTACAGCAGCAGCAGAGCTCTGCCTATTTTGTCACGTCGTGCACAGCTTTCACGTCGTGCACAGCAGCTCAAATGTAGAAACAAGCTCACAATCCGTCACACAGCAGCTACTGCCGACACCACACCACAACCCTGTGTTGCTCACCTGACTCGTCCGTGTTCCAGACATGGTCGGCCGCCGGCTGGTGCTCGTCGAGGAACTGGCCCCAGAAGCCGTAAAACTTGTGCAGACGTTCATCTTCCACGCACCCATATCCTGTTGGACTCGTAGATGCGGGCGAGTCGAAGGCTGATGCGCTCGTGCCGTCCGAGGAAGCCCTCAAGCCAGCTCCTCCCCGGGCCCTTGTCAGGGGTCCACGGGATCGGTCGACCGTCGTTGCAGAGCTGTCTCACACGCTCCGTGACGTCTGCGGTGGTGAGCGGAATATAGTTCCGACCAGCGTACAGCAGAATGTCTTCAAGCGCATCCTCCTCTGCTGCGTTCATGACAGTCCCGGGGCCCACCCGTGCGTCCATGGCACACTCACCTCTCAGCCGCCGCGAGAGCGGCGTCTTGCTGACCCCGTAGGCAGCAGCAGCAGCGTTGCGTGACATGCTACGGCTGCGGACCGCTTCACAGGCCTTCGCAGCAGCCTCCGCGCTCACTCTACACCGACCACTCCGACCCATGCTTAGCAGCAGGAGGCCAACGAAGGCGAAGATGCGCCGCATCGAGACTGCTGGTGGGCGCGTTGCTGTAGCTCGGGGCTGCGTGCGCCGATCGGCACGCTGAAGTGCTCAAACGAAAGCTAACGGAAAGCTGATCAAATTCAAAAAATAAACAGGGGGGGCTTGCGGATTGTGTGCCTGGTGTGCCCCCACTAGTGATGACGTACCATTACAATGTATCGCTGGTTGGTGGCCATGTTTGCGTGTGTGCTTGTCGTTAGTGGTCTCTCCACCTTGTGCCTTTTTCTGTGTTTATATCTTGTTATTTTCGGCCTGGTCCCTTTTTGTCCTCGCCCTTTTTATGTCATTTTCTCTTTCCTTACTGTTTCCATTTTCTTCTCTTTTTCTCTCTTGTTCTCTTGTTCCCTTTTCTCTCTTTTTCTGTGCCAGATAGATGGCCTTGTTCCTGCTTGCGTTGTGAAGTACCAAGATTGAATCAAGGGGGTGTACCTCATTCTCTCCGGCCCGTGATGGTGACCCCTAGTCTCAGTTGTTACCTTGAATAGCGCGCAGAGGGAGTGGAGGACTCCAGAATATATCTGTCTTTGATTTCTATTGACTTGCGGACCCCTCGGGGCCATTTTATTGAGTGTACCTTTTTAGGGTAAGTTAGCCTGCGACCATGGGAATCGACGGCGTCGAGTGTTGTATCAGTACGGACATACGAAGGTACTGGGTACTGTAGAGAGAGATCGGAACGTTTATGTTTGCTCAAGAATTCTGGATTATGTTTCTGCAGGCAACCAAAGAAAAACCCAAGACACATGAAACAAATTGAGAGCGCAGGTAAAATGCCGTCTTGCTCCCAACGTTATCTTATCGGACTAACCCGTTGCAAACTTTTCAAGATTGCCGTATTATCATTACCATTGTTTCGGCCTCTGGCCAAAACATATCTTACTCATAATAAACTACCTACACGGGACGGTACTCACTCCCAGTCGTCGACCGACTAGACGACTAGACCCCCCCATGCTCCCCCTTCTCTTGAGCGATAGGTAGGTGTGGGTGGGCGGGAAAATCGATCATATCCTAGAAGGCACTCCGTGTTTGCTGCTCCTCAAAACTGCTATCTCTGCTACTCCTCTCCTTCTCTCAAATGCACTTTGCTGCTTGTCTCTCGCCCAGCGAGAGCGCAAAAACTTTCTGCCACCAGGGCTGTCTCTACTTTTCTTCGATCCCCGCTTTTCCGAATTCCAACATGCCTCCACAAACCACAGATTCAAATACGTACTGAATCTTCACGGTTTTTCATGTGAAGGCAACAACAACAACAACAACAACAACAACAATGCCCGTTTCAAAAAAGGGGGGGTGGTCCTTCATACCCACACTTACTCTAGAAGTTGCGGAAGTAGTTCCCACCGTCAAGAGCGTTCTTGTTTTGTACAGGCGCGCCCTGTTTTGGTCGACCACCACGAGATGAGATCATAAACGCACCCGTGGGATCTACATCGCGGAATCCAAACCTTCTTCTCTCCCGTGCTTTTAGCAGGTCGACTTGACTTTCACGCTAAGCGTCGGCGACGAGGACAGCGAGACAGGCTCCTGGGAGCTGTTGTTCTTGCCATTTTTTGCCGAACGCGGCGATGGGGGCATATCTCACAACTCTGTGCCCGAAGGTCGCTATGTTAAGCTGTCTGAAAAAAGGGCTCTGTGAGTCGACACCAGATCGGACCTGGAGGTTCACAAGTGAGATCGGGATGCCCTGGGTGTCGACGTCGATCCTCCTGCCAGCTGACGCCCAGCAGAAGATTACTCGCCAGGTATCGTCGGCCGCTGACACAACCAGCTATCCAAGGCCACCACCCTCTTACGNCCCCCCATGCTCCCCCTTCTCTTGAGCGATAGGTAGGTGTGGGTGGGCGGGAAAATCGATCATATCCTAGAAGGCACTCCGTGTTTGCTGCTCCTCAAAACTGCTATCTCTGCTACTCCTCTCCTTCTCTCAAATGCACTTTGCTGCTTGTCTCTCGCCCAGCGAGAGCGCAAAAACTTTCTGCCACCAGGGCTGTCTCTACTTTTCTTCGATCCCCGCTTTTCCGAATTCCAACATGCCTCCACAAACCACAGATTCAAATACGTACTGAATCTTCACGGTTTTTCATGTGAAGGCAACAACAACAACAACAACAACAACAACAATGCCCGTTTCAAAAAAGGGGGGGTGGTCCTTCATACCCACACTTACTCTAGAAGTTGCGGAAGTAGTTCCCACCGTCAAGAGCGTTCTTGTTTTGTACAGGCGCGCCCTGTTTTGGTCGACCACCACGAGATGAGATCATAAACGCACCCGTGGGATCTACATCGCGGAATCCAAACCTTCTTCTCTCCCGTGCTTTTAGCAGGTCGACTTGACTTTCACGCTAAGCGTCGGCGACGAGGACAGCGAGACAGGCTCCTGGGAGCTGTTGTTCTTGCCATTTTTTGCCGAACGCGGCGATGGGGGCATATCTCACAACTCTGTGCCCGAAGGTCGCTATGTTAAGCTGTCTGAAAAAAGGGCTCTGTGAGTCGACACCAGATCGGACCTGGAGGTTCACAAGTGAGATCGGGATGCCCTGGGTGTCGACGTCGATCCTCCTGCCAGCTGACGCCCAGCAGAAGATTACTCGCCAGGTATCGTCGGCCGCTGACACAACCAGCTATCCAAGGCCACCACCCTCTTACGTCTACAAACGCTGTGCGCCAAGCCTCGGCGTCACGCGGGTGGACCATGCCACTCTGCAGCACCGTCCTCGCCCAAGTTTGAAAATTGTACAGGTTGGGATCTCCTCCGAGGGGGTGCGAGTTGAACCACATGTGTCCCGGCCTCGCTGATGAAGGGAAGGAGATACGAACCCTAAACCCCGTCCCGAAGACGGCCTGCCGTCGATAGGTAACACCTCGAGGCCCCCTGTAACGCCACCCGTTGCTCCTGTTTGCCAGGGGCTCGGCCTGGTCCACCTGCTCCACGTAGCACCACCGGTAGCTGGTGGCATGTGTTGATGATACAGCTGCTGCTGTGGTTGCCCGCGTGCCATTTTCTATTTTAAATGAGCCAACATACTCCCTCTGTCCGAGAATATAAGCAAGGTTTGGACAAAAAGCAATAGAACTCGTGTCTGCCGAACTCTTTTTCCGAACGGTTTTTTTTTCTGGTTCCGCCGCACTGGCGCGCAGCGCGCAGAACCGCTGCTCTTTTCACACCACCTCAACAAAGTGTGTTGCACCCCAGCACAACNATCGAGCGGATTTTTTTTTTTTCTCTCTCCAATGTCATATGTGATCGTTTGCCAAAGTTGTCCGACGTCCACCAATGGCACGTTTCCGTCAATATTCTTCAAACCTTGCTTATATTCCCGGATTTCCAAACCTTGCTTATATTCTCGGACAGAGGGAGTAATTTTTCTCTCTTTTTACCCGAAGCATCAACCACGGTGGTGGCACCGTTGACTGATGACAGTATATCTGTCAGGTGATGAGTGACTTGTCTGTCTGCCTGTATGGTGAAGACGCAAGTAAAATAAATGTAGAAAATATCTCTTTTCATGTGAGGGGAGGTGTAGTTGTGAGCGTGTGTCGGTGTTTCCTGCGGCGAATGTTTCCCGTCGAGATTCGTCCCTGCTGCCTGCCTCCCTTTTTTGTTCCAAAGAAGGACCGTCCGTCGTCGTGTGGGTGCGACAAAAAAATCACACGAGGGGCGGGGATGGTGGGATCAACACCACCCAGTGTAGGGTGGATCGTAGCAGCCAGGAGTAACTGCGTTCGTCCAGGGAACGAATGACTGTATCCGTCCGTGTGGTCAGCGATTCCCGTGAAAGTCTGGCGTCATCATCAGTCCAATCAGACGTCCGCGGCGATTTTTTGTTTTTCAAGACGTGACGTCATGACCGTGGCTGGCGTCATCGGTCGACCATGGAATTTTCTGCACAGGAAATTACCTTTAAAAAAAAATGGCCAATCAGAAAACTGCGGGCATCTTTTCTATCTACTTCGTACTTACTGCGATTGGCGATGCATAGCTTTGTTGCCGGACTCCTGTAGAAGAAAAAAAACAACGAATTGTGGAAAAGAGGGCTTCGTCCTCGACAGACGTTGGGGAGTTTCAACCTTTATGAAGGTGGTCTCCACATTACCCCCCCTTTTTCGAGGCTTCTTCTTGTTTGCTAGGCAGGAGAAGTCTTCTTGGGGTAACCGGAACCCGATCGGCTGGCGGCGAGTAGAACCACCTGTTTTTCCAACAATCTTCTGTGCGTGTGTGTGGGTGCGCCACTTCCGCCACGCATTGCCAGAAGTTTCGAGTTCGATAGACAGTGCATCGTTTCTTGGCCCACCCACCGTCTTTTTCTTTTTCCCGTAGTACTCCGGAAGAAAATTTGGTGAGCAGCGGGTTTTGAACCCGCGTCTTTCACAACCAAAAGTAGACACGCTGACATCTCTTCGTCGACGCCATTGTGGAAAAAGAGGGTTTCGTCCTCGACAGACGTTGGGGAGTTTCAACCTTTACGAAGGTGGTCTCCACAAAATCGATAAAAAAAAAAACATCTCTTTCGAATTCCCAACACACCGATCCTTTGTTGCACGTCGTAACACCCGTCCCGGTTTCACACCGGTCCCGGTTTCACATCCGTCCCGGTTAGGGTTAGGGTTAGGGCTAGGCAACTGACAACGCGGATGATGCCATCCTTCCGTGGTCACAGGTAGGTCAACTTCCCAAGAAGGGTATACAAACATACTCACATCGAGGATCTTGATAATGGACAACGAAAAATGATATGCTGCATGCATGCGCAGTCAAGAGCGCAAGTTTCCCGCGCAACAATAGCAACAAGAAATAGGCCATCAACAAAACAAGCAGTGAGTCCTATGGTGTTGAACGTCAACGGGCCTTAAGGCAGTCAGTCACACTGGCGGAATCTAATATCTACTGAGACTCTCGCTGTCAGTCGTGACCGCTGGGTCTTCTTGGCGGACAAAGAGAGAACCGAGATGAACCTACCGTCCTCCCTCCGCCGGAAGGAGAAGACAGTACAGAGGAGGGATGGTGGCTTAAGATAGGGGAAAGACTCGAAGGCTCCACCCCTCCACACGTCCTTAGGGACTCTAGTAGGAACATGGCCACTGTTGGTGCTCTGTCTATTGAGCTGTGATGGTGGGCAATGACGTCAAGGGCTAAGGTGACCAAAACAAAACATCTCTCCTCCTCCCCCCCCCCCCCNCCCCCCCCCCCCCCCCCCCTGGCTGTATTCCGCACGAAGCACTCAACCAAAAGTCCGCCTGCCCCCGACCCCCCCTTTTGATCAAGTGCGTCTAAAGCACGACAGTTATCTGGGGCATGCAGAAGTTTCCCGTCCCCTTTGCACACGATCGCAATACCCGTTTTTTTCTGCGTGAACAAGTCAAGCCTACTACAGCTTTTAGGCAAGCAAAAGGGGCTTTTTATCCAGCCCCCCCGTCACCTCAGCCGCTTCAGGTCCACGAACATGTTCTTGCATCTCTTGCACCTGGCGTGTGGTCGAAGTGGCGGGAGGGGGGTACCCGAGGTGGAAGAACGGAGGGGAGGGGGGGGGAGTGGGGGTTCACTTCCGTCCACCCACACATTTTGAAGACCTACCCGTCATAAGACAGGTGTTGTCATAGTCGTCAACGCCGTAGTCGTTAGGCCATAGACCTCGCATTCCTACAAAGCCGGAACGGAGCACGCCGGGTTTTCACCGGACCAGGCTCGCACATCACAAAGGGGGGCGAGGTAAACACTAACGAATCAATTGTGTCCTCATTACCGTCGCCTCATCATCGCTAAATAATAGTGATGGTTCTACGTAAAGTCACTCGTACTTCACATTCTTTTCCCCGAAGTATGTCCCGGTACATGCCGGGGGCTTGGTGCGGCTCGATCCAGAACCAACAACAGCAACAACCAGTGGTGCCAAACGAAATAAAAGTAACCTTTCCGCATTAAGAAGCCATCACGTTTGTTCCTTCCGATGCTTCCTTAGACTACTTCTCTATTCTATCACTCTTGTGTTGAGGTCTGTGACCATGATGAACGCTGCATAGAGTAACGGTAGAGCGGGGTTGAATGTGGACAACGAGATGAGAACAACAACAACCAACTAACCCCAAATTATGCCAACCCCGTGCTCCCCCATGACCAGCTTCCGGTTCCTCCCTATGAAACTAATAGCCTCGGCCGGCGAAAATCACGCATTTGCTCCGTTCCGGCGTTGTAGGCATGTGAGGTCTATGGTCTAACGACTACGGCTTACGCCTACATGAGTACCCCCCCCAACCACCACCCCCAAACCACATCACGTCGCCCCCCTTCTCTCACCTCCCGCCGGTGGCGACCTTCATCGCGCAGCCCCTGCAGAAGGCATGGCATCCGCACGGGACGCACTCATACTCAGCCTCCCGCCGGTTGCATGCCAGGCACCCGTCGCTCAAGTCCCCTGCTGCCGAGAGATAGATGACGGTTAGTTTCAACAGATGGGCCCATGGTATGATACGTCATCCGTGGTCATTCACAAAAAAACCGCCAACCAAAGAAAGTAATGAGAAAGTGCAATGATATGTGCAGATGAAAAAAAGATTGGGGTTGCACATATCATATTCAGGGCTGTCAGCCCGAGGCCCCGGGAAAATGCTCCATGTGAAGTGAGAGGTCGAAACGTAAGGCACAGGCAGTGCAAGGAAGAAGAAGAGGGACTCCCACCTATTAATACCAAGATAAACGACGACGGACGTTCTCACTAACAACCCCAGCTGATTCAATCGCACCACCTAACACCGGTCGCCCCGACACAATAAACAACGAAACGAGCCTGCTCGCTCGGGTGCCGCAAAGCAAAATTCTGCCAACCCGGAGGAAAACGGCCGCACACACCCACCCACCAGCAATGCTGCTTCGTCTCGCCTCTCTCTGCTCCGCGCCCTCCGCCTTCCTGACGCACGTCGCGGCCAGCAGCGTGAACTCGCGGCCGGTCCCGAAGGCGCCGTCCTCCCCTTCCCCCTTGCTGAAGCCGATGCGGTCCACGCTCAGGTCCTCGAGCATCCCGCTGCTCTCGCACCACGCCCTCAGGTCCGACTCGCGGATGCCGTGGTGTTCAAGTTGGTTGCCCAGCTACTCCCTCAGTGTTGTCGTGGTTCGATTGTTTTTTCGGACGGATATTCGTTAATACACCGAGGGGGTAGACAGGATGTGCTTGGTTTAGTGGATGCGGAGCAGAACGGTACATGCATCCACAGCCCTGCCCAGCTGCTCCGTCAGTGTTGTCGTCGTCGTTCGACTGATTTTTTTTTTTTCGGTTATTCGTTGGGGGGTGAAGAGTTAACGTTAACACACCGAGGGGGGCGGGAGAGTGACAGGATGTGTTTGGTTTAGTGGATATGGAGCAGAACGGTACGTATATTCATCTACAGCCCCTTGGTCACAGCCGTCGCCTCGCCTGCCTCACCGTCCCGCCTCTCTTTCTAGTACAAGTGGCATTTCCTCCCCCCCCCCCCCGGTCCGAATACCTCACGGCGCTTCCCGCTTGGTGACGTGCTAGAATAGCCTGGTCCGGCGACAAACCTGGCGTGCTCCCTCCCAGCTTCGTAGGGATGCGAGGTCAATGGTCTAACAGCTACGGCATTCGTTGACATTAATACGCCCCACCCCCTCTCTCGCTCCGTCCTGGCTTTGTAGGGGTGCGAGGTCAATGATCTAGCAGGTACGGCATGCCCGCCCCCACCCATATAGGAAGTGGGCTGAAAAGGCGGGAAGTGATACCGGTAGGATAGATAAGACTAGGGAAAACATGTCTTGAGTGGGTGAATGGTCCCGTGGGAACAATGTTCCGTCCTCTCGAGGACGCGTGGTCANCCCCCCCCCCACGCAAGACACGCACCTCGAAGTCTGCCGGGTGAAACTTATGGGCGTCCTCCGTAGCCTCTAGGTCGAACAGCACCAGACGACCGGACCCAGGGCGGAGGTACCCCGCCAGCGCCGAAACGGTACGCTCGCAATCTCTGATGTGGTGCAAGGTGAGGCTGCTGTAGGCCAGGGCGAAGGAGTCGTCCGCGCCCTCCCCCAGCTGCCCCGGCCCCGTCAGCTGTTGGGATTTATCGTTGGAAGCGGTTGCTGTTATTGTTGTTGTTGTTGCAAATGTTGCTAGAAGTTGTTGTTGTTAACATCTGGGTACCTTTTACGCCTCCATCATGCACAGGTGAGGAGGAGGCCGAAGACTAAGGGGGAAGAGCGAGCAGTCTCCCACCCCCCGGCCTTCGTCCAGCCACCCCCGTCTCCAATAATAGCACGACTACCCTACGTCGTCGAAGCTCTCTTAACCTTTGAATGCACACCGTACTTAATAAAGCACATACATACCAGGCATGATTTTCGATCACGAGAAACGCTATAGGGTGGGTTGGGCTCGCGCAGACGGAAACAGCTTGCTCTGCAAGCGACGGCAAACAAACCCAAACACGAAAAACAAAAACAAAAAAAAAGTGCTCTTCCATACGAATCAGGCCTGACCTCAACGGCAACGGTGGTGACGCCCCGACCCTCCGCCTTCCGATCAAACTGCTCCAGCATTGCCCTGCTCGTATCCACCCCGGTCACAGACTCGCCGAGGTCGTCCCTAAGGGCCATCGTCAGGCACCCCGTGCCGCAGCCTCACAGACATATAACAAGTATCATAAGTGTCATAGTACCGGCATATTTTGGGCGGGGGTTGGGGGTAGACGCGAAAGGGGGAGCGGGGGCAGGAGATAAGAATCGTAGTACCATAATGCCGGCACTTTTTGGGCCGGGTTCGTTGGAGATAGATGAGACGGGGGGGGGCATAGATATAATTATTTATCCTCTTCTGAAAATTTATCGAATGCGTTCATACACAACCACGACACATCATCCTTGTCTCTCTCGAACACCTAGAGTTCGAGTACTGCTGGCGCAGCGGTCAAGCCAAGCACTCGACGTTGTAGGCACAGGGGTCAAGCCAAGCACTCAACGTTGCTGTCCAACACCTTTTGGCGGAGAGTATCGGCGGCACTCGCTGTGCACCAGTGTGTCACACTCTTACCCCGCCCGATACTACCAAACGTGGCACGTCCGGGGAGCCTCCACCTCACGCGTCGTTCACCATCACCACACTTGACCTCGCTCACCTGTCCAGTACGATGGCATCAACGCCACTCTGTGCAAAACATATTCAACAACAGCAAAACACCCCTTCCCCCCCACTTCGGGTGCGATCGACGGCTGACTCACCGAAGTCTAGCGTGGGTCCGTCCAGGGGTGGCGTCCACCAAGGCTTGGTTTATTGTTCCGTCGATGTGTCCGACACATTTACGAGCGGCACGCGGGGGCGGGCGGGGGGGGAGGTAAGGTACCCAATTGGAAAATGACGGAACAATATAATCTTGCTTAAAAAACGAGAGTTCCTGGCTGGTTGTTTGCGTACACAAGACGAAAACGGTACGTACACTGGGCACCAAAGTAGCCAACACCACCTCTCTTCCACGTCACTTCATACGTAGGAAAGCACCACAGAAACATGCGGTCTGTCTAAGAGGCAAGACCGGAGATAGATCTCAAGTCGATTCTTTACCGCAGGGTTGCCGCATCGTCTCGTCTCCGCTCGTGTCCATGCAGTCGGCGGAACGCGCCTACTGCCGCTGCAAAGATTCGTTCGTTGTCGCTTGCCGCACACACCACGTAGCCTGCGCTGCACTACCTCCCAAGTACTTCAAGCTACCGGCACGTCAACTACCGCACACGCTTGAAAGGAAGATTCGCACAACTAGAAAAAAATCACATCCTTCCTTGTTGACCCAACCCCAAGGTGCACCATGCCACTGTAGCCGCGGTGTGGGAAACTCTGCGCGTTAACCGGGTCCGTTCTTTCTGTCTCTTCTGGATTTCGTTTTCCGTGCCCATCGCTCGCGAGGCCCCCAAAGCCCTGTTGCAACATACTATATACCCCATGCATTCCTTCCCGCTGAGACTCCGGCTGATGGGTCCAGAAAACATACCGAAACGCGTCAGACCTGACGTCCAGACCATGGGGGGACAACACACACACACCAAAAAAATCGATGGCGTACAGACCCCCTCCCCACCGTCCTCTGCAACCACATCAGGCGGGGGCACGCTTTGCTCGCGTACGGTTTTTTCCGTGGGGGACCAAGAGGCACCGTCCAGATGACCGGTGAACATACGTGGGTATCATACTTGCTGTACCTGATTGACGATCCAGGCCCTGATCGTCTCCGTGGTTCCTTTGACGATAGGCTTGTCGTCCCAGCCGGCCGCCTTCACCTCGAACCGCGCATGGCTCCTGCTGGTAGGAGATGATTCCTGTTCGTTCGTGCCGTGCCATCACGGGTTCCAGCAGTACCCCGCATGCAATCGGAGGGAGTGGGGCGGAGGGGAGACAGACAAAAATGGACCAGTCGGTTTTGCGCCGCCGGAACTGTTTTATCCCTGGAAACTGGTGTGGTAGGCGCTGGTTTTGTTGTTTCTGCACACCAGGCAATGTTGTGAACAACATGTGGGAACCATAACTTTCCGCACCACACGCAAATCAAATATATCTGTGGCACTACAAGGAGGGGGTGTACTCATAGTCGTGCATGCCGTAGTCGTTAGACCATTGACCTCGCATCCCTACAAAGCCGGGACGGAGCACGCCGGGTTCTCACCGGACCAGGCTCTCACATCACCAAGCGCGAAGCGCCGTGAGATATTCGGCGAGTCGCATGAAGGGTGCGCTGCATCCTGCTAAGGGTGTTCGGCATCTTGTGCTTACTTCCTTGAGTACGGATGACAGCTGCGTATGACTAATTTGTCTTCTGGTGCTTTCACTTCCAGAGACAGTTACAAGCACTGCGTAACGGCCTCGAGGGTGCTTGACCAACTTCACACAACGTGGTGCGATCATACTCCTTGCGCGGAGTGAGGGTTATCCACCCCGCACAGCATGACNTCTCACATCACCAAGCGCGAAGCGCCGTGAGATATTCGGCGAATCGCATGGAGGGTGCGGC